GAGGCCGCCCCCCCCGGCGGCTCCCCGGCACGGCGCTGCCGGTCGGACCTCCATTCTCTCCTTTGCTGAAGCGTATTCTGCAGACGATTTTACATAAGGCTTTCCGAGCAGCTGAATCAGTAGCTGAGAGAAATAAATATATGAAATCCCTGTTACCAGTCGGAGGACGGGCTGAGTCGGCAGATTCCTGCTTCTCTCTACTCTGCTCCGTGCGGAGCGGCACTGCATGGGCGCCGGGGCCGGGGAGGAGCCGAAGGCGAAGCCGCTTCTCCGCCTTGGCCAACAGTGACACCCTGAGTCCGTGCGTGAGAACCGCAGTGTCCGGGAGAAAGAGAACAGCCCGAAGGTCCTGCTACGCAGGTCATTAAATCGCACTCACACGCGGGTTGGAAAATGCAGATGTTTTCACAGATTCATAGAATGGTTTGGGTTGATTGGGCCCTAAAGTTCATCTGGTTCCAACCCCCCCCGCCATGGGTAGAGACACCTTTCACTAGACCAGGTTGCTCAAAGTCCCATCCAACCTGGCCTTGAACACTTCCAGGGACGAGGCATCCACAGCTGCTCTGGGAAACCTGTTCCAGTGCCACACCACCCTGATGGTGAAGAATTTCTTCATTTCTTCTTTCTTTCGTGCCTTGTTGGTAGCACGAAACAGAAAACACGTATCTATGCTGAAATGGTGCATCTAGGAATCCCCATTGCCTGAATTTCTTACACTTGCAAGTATTCTGCAAGACAAATCCTCCCCCATTGCTCGAAGGATGTGGGGCAGGATCTCTATCTCTGCCCCACAGTGATCTTACTTGTCTCCAGGGTGAGGACGTGGGTGTGTCCCCGTTGTCATCTCCTCACCACCGTGACAGAAATGGCAGGACAGGACGAACGCTGAAGCACTGCTCATAGGTAGTGGTTTTATTTTCGATAGTTGGGAGATCCCGAGCTAGCACTTAGTTTTCCCACTCTGAACAGTGATTGCCGATGGACGAGCAAAGCTGGGAATCCCAGTCGCTGAGAAAACCACAGCGGTCACACCAGACCTACTGGATCCTACCTCTTTTGACATTCAAAACATTTTGACATCATCGTATCAGTGCCATACAACCCAACCCCGAATTTCTTCCGTCTTTGCCTCTGACAAACCACGTCCTCATCTCCTAAGCCAGCCATTACAAGACAAGAAACGGTTAGAAAACCCTCCACACTACCTACCTGGTGGAGTAGCTGTCACATATACACCAACGCTGAGTCTCTGTAGATGCCAATGTGAAGACATCCTCCTCTTCTCAGAAAGGTGTCGTTAGAAAATACGTTTTCCTGCTAACTCTGGCCATTCATCCAGCGGAGGATAACTTCTTTTCCTCCAGCTGCACCTATACACAACTCACGGTAACAAATGAATAACCTATCAGAACGAGAAGTTGGTTTGAATTTGTAGTGTTTCAGGAGCCAAGAGGCAGCAGGCATGTGGGCATCTCTATATGAGGTCAAGAGAAGGGTGTGGATATTTATATAGGGATGGGGAGACTCTGCTGAAACATGTCGGGGTCAATTCACTGCCTCCTATATGGAGACAATTGTCTATCACAACCCAGACACACATTTTCATGCATCTTTGCACACCGAAGTACCCTCCAATTCGCTGTTTCCAAGCAGAGATTGGCATCTCCTAGTTCCAGGATTTTCTCTTCCCCCTGGCACCCAAGCTGGCGGGCAACAGCACAGTTAAGTCCCAGGAGGACGCAGCTAAGAACCAGCCTGCACCAGAGAGGGAAACATTTTCTTCCTACATGCATACCATATGTGAGTTTGTGTCTGATGGATGGCAGCAGAAAGGAGTAACGACCACAAGGTTAGTTCATGTGAAGCATTAGGTTATGTCTCAGCTTACATTCCCGCCACACACAAAAGCACCTGTACAAAGTCACGATATTTTGGCAAGATCTAGGATCAGCACAAAAAAATCTGTGCAGACCTTCACCGGGAACCTTGCAGTATTATTTTCTCTCAGATTGGTAGCAGTTATTTTTATGTGCCACTAGTTTACTTTGTTTAAAATGCAACGATACAATGTGTCACCAGCTTAAATAGCAGAATAACAAACAATAGAGCAACGTAATATTATTCATTAATTATATTCCTGAAGCCCTAAAAGCCTTTTCAGTCCATGATGAAAGACCAGTAATGGAGAAAATAAGGAAGGCTGCTTCCGAGACAGTCTGTTTGGTAGATGTGCTTTCAGAACAGAATGGCATGCTTGGCAGGAAAAAATGTTTTGATACTATAAGGAAATCAAGGAATAAAATATTTTACATTCTCAAATTAACTCGCATTCCCAAATTAGACGCACGATAAACAGACTGTGACGAATAGTATTTTGCTTGAAGACATTTTCCATCTGCATTCTAGTAAATATCCTCTATTTCGATGTCTGTGCCTGTACACTAATTGACAACTACATTTGTATCGAATCCAAAGATTAAGTCACGAAGCCCAGCAGGGTGAAAAAACTCGATGAGATATCAGAAGAATTTTTCATCATGTAATACGAATCTAAATGTAGAACTGTCAGTGTCCTTACATGGGACTGATTAATTCGTTTGTTAAAGGAGGATTTCCAAGTCACCTAAGACTTGAGTGATGTTGGCTTTTGGGGTGCAAAGTTCCAAATTCTACCAGCATTTGAGAGCTGATAAAGGGGATGGTAATGAAATTCTGGGAACGGGGTACTAGGAAGACCTTAAACAATTTCAAGGAAGTGTCAGAGGAAGACCTAGAGACAGAAATTTCCCTGTGCAGTTGCACATGCAACAGAACCTTTAAGCCTTACAAAAAGCTAGATACGATGAACTCTGCCCAGGCGGTACAGAACATGGCATAAAAGACACACACAGCAGACTCAGCACACGTTCAGGAGGTGACATTCAGGAGCTGGCGAACATTGTAAAACGTGATTTCCAAGCCTGAAAACCATGCACTTTGAAATGTCCATGGCTACCCTAACAATACTAACCACCGCGTAAAAAAAGGAGGGTTAACAAAAATTAACGGACCTGAAAGGAAACTTGGCTAACAATCTCGGCAAGGTGATCTCCCATAGAGACGGCTGCCTCAGGCGGCGGCCGGGCCGGGAGGGTGTCGCAGCAGCTGCCGCCCGACAAGCGGAGCTGGCTCCTGCGCGAGTCGGCGGTGAGCGACACCTCGTGCGAATAGGAGTGCAGGAAGGCGCGGACGCCGTCGATGCCCACGAAGTGCGAGGCCGGCACGCCGCGCAAGGCGCCGCTGCCCGCCGCCAGCAGCTGCGCGCGGCGCCCGC